AACAACAGGAAAAGAAGTGTTATAATGAAATTTACTCATTACAGGAAAAAGCAGGAGGTGATCAGGGCAAGATGGAGTCTCAAGAACTTTGGATTTACTGTGTTTGAAGACCTCACAACAGCAAACCAATAGAAACAGAAGGAAGCTTTCCAGTTGCAATGTGTCCAAAATTCCTACAGCATCGACAATAAACTTTTTATTATATTGAAAAAAGGTAAGAAAAGAAAGGTTATTCCATGACACAAAAACTTACAGAACAATTCTTAGAAAATAAGCTCAAACTTCAGTTATCAAGGAATAACTTGGTTGTGTCAAGTGCATGTATAGCGGATAAGTGTAGTTTTTTACTGATGGATTAATGGATACTGTGCTTACAAAGGTAAGCTGTGTGATTACATACACACCAGCAGTGCATGATTTTTTTCCTTGTGTATACATGTATATACATTTATGTATATATTTAACATTGTGACAGAATGGTGATGTGACCAAGTATCACTTTATATTATGCCTTTAAATATTAATCTTGCCATAAATGACATGTATATTTAATATCAATCTTTCTTAGAGATGTGTAAATGCTTCTGGATAGTTGTTATCCATCATGATTGAGGAAAGTGGTGAAATATTATCAGTTACATGTCAAGTGTTTCTGTTGTGCTGTGCTTTGTTTTGACTGGAAGTAACGTATTAACTGTTTGCACACTTGTAGAGGTTATTTAAAGAATTAATATGACTGCAGTATTTTCACCGTGTTTACGAGAAAACTTTTGTAAGTCGAGCAAGCATAAATTATAGAAGTAGAAGTAATGTAGTTATTATGTAGGAATAAGAAGTCTGGAATAAAGGAATGTTAGTTTTTGCCTTATTTTATCTAAGGATGTAAATGTTTTGGAAGTGTGTAGGACCAGACCTAGAATGGATGTGTATTTTCCTAACTTGCGTATGTTAAGATTTTGCCTATTTTAATGTAAGCTTTAGGCCTTCTGATTAATGTGTTAATTTCATGTGAGGAAAGCTAATATAATAAAAATAATATTGTCCATCTTACTCGAATATGAAGTTGTAGAAATTAACTACTAAGTGTGAAAGATTGTGTGAATCTGATAGAATTATTAATGTAACTTATTTTTCTTGACATAGGAGATTCATTGCCTAATTAAATATTGAACTTTATCACAATCTTCTGGTTTTCTGTACAACTGAGCTACATCTAGGAACATGACTTGTTCAAATAACCATAGGATAGTCTGATGCTATTGGAACACTCTTCATAAGTGATTACTTAGTTATCTGATTATACTGAATTGGATGACGAGAAAAGGTCAAGTCCAGGTCAAACTAATGTCATGATCTGTTTGAATTAAAAGGGATAACAAATTATCAAGAAATATACCAAGTGAACAGGAGTACTTGGAAGCTACGGAGAGGAACACCACTTAGTCCTGAATTATCTATTTATTTATCGGGTTTAGCCCTATATATATTGTGACAGCCTACACGCTACCATGTTGAATAGATCTGAGATTGGGTCCAGATCACGATGGTGTCACAATATAGATGTAAGAGTTCTACTTATCTCCTTTTATCTATTTCCATTGTATTTCTAGTGGTATTCTCAACTTACACTATTTTCCTGTATTCAGACGTACTTTTCATCCATATTACAATATATATACAGATGTAGACTTTTCTTACTCTTCCATTATTTGGTCCAAATCATGTCTGATATGGCATTTTATTTAATTATGAACTCATTTTTTTTCTTTTGTATGTAATGAAGAGTTATTGTGCAGGCATTGATCCCTACATCATTTGTGTATGAGAGTAATGTCGTGAGAAAACAATGTATTTTCCCACGCAAACTAATGATGTAACCATCAATATCTGTTAACAAGAGCAGATAACTCTGTATTACAAAAAATGTATGTTGGACAGTCTACTGTATAAACATGTACACAAGTCTCCTAGAATTTACCAGTATTTTCATTTGAGTGAAGCAAACCTATTGAACTAAGAAATGCTCACTTACATTTTACTTTTCAAGGCACATACAGTGTTTAAGAATATACATTAGATGCTTCTTTTGGGTAACTTTATGTGTTGTTCAAAAGAACTTTTGTTTTAATTCTTGTATAAATTTAGTATCTTTGAATGAATCAAGGTCATTCAACTCCATTAAAAAATGATACCTCTTGTTTACAGCTTGTTAATGACTTCAGCCATGAATCTGGGATTATTTCTTACATAATGATAGTTGATGCTGAAAAGTAAACAGATTATCGATAGAGGACAAAGAGACATAAAAAGATATTAGAATTAAATAGGTTCAGCAGACTTACTTTTTGCTCCTGCATTTTTAGGGCCTGTACGAAAAAGTTCCATGACCTTTTGCTTTTTATCAAGTTTGATGATTATGTAACCATAACTTTTATTCTGTTTCATTTCAAGAAAAGCGGCTTTCACCTCTGGAGCCAGAGAAATTCCAGACTGAAACAAAAATAAGAGAAAGAAACATGAAGTGTCTGCATATGTGTTAATCAGCTTTTGGTGGAGACCATCACCCTTCATTGATATATAAACTTGATTCCTCAATCCCCCTCCCCCCCCCCCCTTCCCGCTAGATGCTTTATGAAAAATTTACAAGTAAAATGTATTACAAATTTTGAATTTACCTTTTCACCACAATAAATTCTAGTGCCCTAAGGGAAACATTTGTGTGATGCTTAGATATAAGACAATATCAGTCTCTGAATCTTCAGTAGGACTAATAGTACACCATGTATAGTAACTACATCCATACTTGCTTCAACTGTACCTTAACCATCTATCTTAATGGTGATCCCATAAGTAATGATTTCAACGTCTACTTTTTTCACCAGTCATAACTTTAGTGTACCCTTAGCCAAAGGGTTAGTCACAATATTTGGTTTGTGATAACCCATTTATATGTATATCTACACTGAAATGTAAAAGTTTGAATTTTTTTTATCATGAGTCCAAGTTCTAAGATCAAAGGGAAGACATTTTAACACTATTTATAATTTTCAATCCCTTTCAAAAAGAATTGCCTCCGACAAAATTTTGCTGCAGTATTTTGTTTACTGCGTTCATTGCCCTGTGAACAGCCAGAATCATTTTAAAGTGGGGTGTCCTTGTAGTAGCTGATGACTGCCTCACTGAACAACTTTAGGGAGGCCTGCCACATGCCATCAGAGTAATTCTGATGTTTGATTGGCCCCCACTGAAGCCTGGCATGGGGTTTCTTTGTGTTTAAGTCCATTATGCTGTGCATATGAACCATTCGGAAATGTCTGAGCCAATGCTTTCAGCAGAAGCTTTTGCTGACCAACCGGTATATCTGAATTAATCAGGTCTTTTGGCTCCAACAACGCCAAAGCTTCCATACACTGGAAACCAAGCTTCAGTAATATTTCTGATGTTCTGGCAGACAGGCGTTTAAATGCTGCCCATTTTTTTACTTTGCCTTCTTCCAGGTCTTCTTGGCTGACAGCCTCCTCAATGATTTCATCATCCGAATCTAAATCCAACATGGTGAGTGGATTTCTTTTCCTGGTTTTTATCATTCAGGATTCTTAAGCCCTGTCAGTGCTGGAGGTGGGACCTGGTCACTCCACAGTGCTCTGGAGACTGTGGCTGGGCAGGTCAGTGCAGCAGTGTAACCTACAAACCTCCTAGGTTGTCATTGGCTAAACCTGTCAAGGTGAGGAGGTTAATGGCTGACCATACAAATCCCCATTATAGGCACAATGTTTCTCAATGGTCCCATTGCCCCAAACTTGACATGCCAAATGTTAGCCCTGACCCCCGGATAACCGACCTGATAGAAGTTGGGGCAATCTGACAAGAATGACACTCCATCCCACCTCATTAATATTGTATTAATTACTTAATACCTACATTAGGGTCAATTGCTCAAGGACACAACAACATCAGCACAGATTGGTCTATATTTTAGCTTCTTGGGATAATCACTTGAGGTCACATAAACCAACTCTCGCAGTAATTATGGCACCTATGCTAAAATGACATGATGATACCTAATGGAATATACATAGTATTTCAAAAATTATGGACATTTATTCCATTTATAAAATACATAGTTCTGCTCCCAGTCCAACTACATCCTCAAACACAACAACAATGATTTCAATTCAATTGACATAATAAATATATCCACTTGAGTCCAAGTTTTTGACAGTCTACAAATGTAAAACCATGTCTTTCTTTAAATTTCATTATTTATTGACTACACCTCTGTGAAACTTTCAATTGTGACATATTAGGTTTTGTATGTGTGGATTCAAATTTGCTACATTGTTCTGGTTTAAAGTCTGATTATTGGTGTCTCAAATTATCATCGACTCCCCACTCATCCCCGGGACACAATCCCCAATCCCCCACTCATCCACAGAACACAATCCCAATCCCCAACCCATCCTCTCGGACGCTCATCCACGGAACACAATCCCCATCACCCATCCATCCTCCGAGACACAATCCCCATCCCCCCACCCATCCTCCGAGACATAATCCCTTATCCCCCCACCCATCCTCCGAGACACAATCCCCATCCCCCACCCATCCTCCGAGACACAATCCCCATCCCCCCACCCATCCTCCGAGACAATCCCTTATCCCCCACCCATCCTCCGAGACACAATCCCCATCCCCCACCTATCCTCCGAGACACAATCCCCATCCCCCACCCATACTCCGATACACAATCCCCATCCCCCACCCATCCTCCGAGACACAATCCCTTATCCCCCACCCATCCTCCGAGACACAATCCCTTATCCCCACCCATCCTCCGAGACACAATCCCTTATCCCCCACCCATCCTCTGAGACACAATCCCCATCCCCCACCCATCCTCCGAAACACAATCCCCATCCCCCACCCATCCTCCGAGACACAATCCCTTATCCCCCACCCATCCTCCGAGACACAATCCCCATCCCCCACCCATCCTCCGAGATACAATCCCTTATCCCCCACCCATCCTCCGAGACACAATCCCTTATCCCCCACCCATCCTCCGAGACACAATCCCCATCCCCCACCCATCCTCCGAGATACAATCCCTTATCCCCCACCCATCCTCCGAGACACAATCCCTTATCCCCCACCCATCCTCCGAGATACAATCCCTTATCCCCCACCCATCCTCCGAGACACAATCCCCATCCCCCACCCATCCTCCGAGACATAATCCCTTATCCCCCCACCCATCCTCCGATACACAATCCCTTATCCCCCACCCATCCTCCGAGACACAATCCCCATCCCCCACCCATCCTACGAGTTACAATCCGTTATCCCCCACCCATCCTCCGAGACACAATCCCTTATCCCCCACCCATCCTCCGAGACACAATCCCTTATCCCCCACCCATCCTCCGAGACACAATCCCTTATCCCCCACCCATCCTCCGAGACACAATCCCTTATCCCCCACCCATCCTCCGAGACACAATCCCCATCCCCCACCCATCCTCCGAGATACAATCCCCATCCCCCACCCATCCTCCGAGATACAATCCCCATCCCCCACCCATCCTCCGAGATACAATCCCTTATCCCCCACCCCTCCTCCGTGACACAATCCCCATCCCCCACCCATCCTCCGAGACACAATCCCCATCCCCCACCCATCCTCCGAGACACAATCCCTTATCCCCCATCCATCCTCCGAGACACAATCCCTTATCCCCCACCCATCCTCCGAGATACAATCCCCATCCCCCACCCATCCTCCGAGATACAATCCAGTAAACACAAGAAACAAACTGACCACAGTGGACAATAGTTGTTTAAATTATTTCATCTGCCATCTGGATTCTTTCATTTGGAATTACATATTTTTTTATTACCTGGCTGATCTCATATTGGGTAATAAATGCTGTCAAATAATTTTCTTTGAATTTATTTCAATATCCTTTCCATCTTTTATTTCAATATCATTTAAATTTGTTATTTTAATACCATTTTAATTTTAGAGTTATTTAAATGGTATGAAAACACAGTTAATAGAATTTTAACTTGTTTTCCAATCGCCATGGCTCATTATAAATTGTACTCGTGCAATAAAAACACTGCCATAGCGTTCGTGTCTATATATAGAACACAGCTCTATAACCATATATGGAGTGGTATACCAGGTACCAATAGAACTGTTTTGGGTCGTTATGAACACGACATTTTTTTATCTTTTAAAATAAAAAGAAATAGAAATATATCTGTTGTTATGAAAATTCGCTCCTGGTGAAAACAATGTTCATTTTAAAAATTCGTAGAACGACAATGTCTTCCCCTTTCCAGAATCTTCGTAGGGCAGTTCTAGACAATTAAAATTATATACAACTATATATATGCGATGTCAATAGGTAGGCTACGTACTGTACCTATCGTTAGTTTACGGGGTAGTGGAAACAGATCATACTGACAGAGACTGAAAAATGTATATGTAACGTGCAGCCTAGCTTTGCACACGGTGGGTAAGTCTCTGATTCCTTGCAGAGATACTAGCTAACAAATGCCGATATATACATATAGTGTGGAACAGCAAACTCTACCTGAGTTAACAATAAAATTAACGAACGAACTAGTATTCACATGGACTGCTGTCCCGACACAGACTGTTCTGACTAGCATGTGAGCGTGAGTGCAAGCTCGACACCCAGTGACTTCACCTAACCCTAGTTCCAACTCGGTCCTACTTAAACCAGCCCACAGATGCCCGCAGACGCCCGCAAGTATACATAGACGCCCGCAGGCGTTGTGGATACGATAGTTAAGAAATAAAATTATATAATGGTTATTTTTACTTAATCAAACCCATCTGTAAAATTTCGAAGTGATTTCTCGCTGATTAAGAAAGTTATACGCGATACGATTTTCCTCTCATAACAGCGTGACAGCAGCACCGCCCGCCATGATGAATCTTAAGCCCCGCCCACTTCCAGCGCCGTAGACAATGGCACAGCTGTCGCCGGGGTGGTCAATACCTACTTGCTCCGCCCACATCCTGCACAATTTAGCAACGACAACAGTGCTGCCATCTAATTGTCGTATACTGAATTAATTTTTTTTAAACTAAAATTTCAAAAAGACACAGAATTCGCAAACGTGTCATAGATGGTTAAAAGGTTAAAAGCCATAGGGCCCGAAAAAATACAGAAATTCGTAAACTTGTTTTTAAAAAATGTTGTCAGTAGGCGAGCTATGCTGTTCTCAAACAGCTCTTGTTATACATAATTATATTAACATTTGATATATTATTTTAATTTCAAGGCATATCTTATAAAAGTAGAGATATAAGTCTTATGCAAAAAGTTACACAAAAAATATATCTGCACACCATCAATATATTGAACGTGGTCGCTATAATGACGTTGAAAGAAATGAGAGAGTTTGTACTTTATCTCCCCCATCCCAAATTATAAAAAAAAAAAAAATTAAATTCAAGTGAATGCAACGATCTTTTTTTAAATATGAGATAACCCCATCCCAAATTCCCATATTATAAAAAGCATAATTAAGTTCTAGAAAATGCAACGATTTTTTTTTTAACAGGAGATATCATGCAATTTTAAACATTTATTTGCGTTAATGCGATAATCAAAATTCTTAACTAACAGTGCGAACTTGGGAATTGTAACACAAAAAAAGTATATTTAATCATGTGATAAAATAGTTTAAGCCCACTATACTTCTTTTCGCGTTTTGATGTGTCACTGGTGGATTACTTGTGATTGCATTACCGGTAAGTTAGTGTATAATCTCTTGTGTATTGTAGAAGGTATTCGTTGTGAATGAAAAGGTGAAATGTCAACTAAGTGACATGATTGGATAGATAACTACCTGCAAATTCGGAGATGATGGGTCATGCTTATTTTTATTGACGTCGATGAGGCAGTCGCCAAAATTCTTGCTTCGATGGTGATTCTTTAGTCGTTTCACAATTGGCTTTTGTTTTTTTTCAATGCATATCCGTTAAGTTGTTTTCATTGCGTTTTACAGGTTAATGTGTCAACAGGATGGTTGTATATTATTGGGGGTTATGGTTTTTGCATAAAAGAAAGCTTTGTTTGGAACAAACTTCATCATTTCAACATGAACCTTTCCCGCCGTACATCGTCTCTTCGCCGAGTTACCCGTGTAGATTATGCTAGGTAATGCTATTTGTATGGTTATTTTTTTGTTGATACATGTAATTTAGAACACCGTTTCAATTACAAATGTATTACATTTCCAGGAATAATAAGTTTAAAATTGCGCGAAGTATTTTTTTTCTTAAATTTCATATATAATGTTGCGATTGGGTGATTTATATTTAATTTTCAGAATTTAGGTTTTTATAATATATGTATTAGGTTACAGTATTACTTATAAAGCTCGACAACAATATGGTCTGAAATTCTGTAGGACTCTTCCTCGCTAACATGGATCGAGTGTTTAAAAAATCGAAACGTAAATCAAAACAATTATAAGAGGAAAGAAATATCTCATACAACTATTATATATACTATAATGTAAGGAATCCTGTATTTCTACAAATACATCAAAAACACCCCAAACAAAAACACCCAAAAAGTGTCAATTTTGTGGGTGTGAAACTACAAAAAGCTTTGTCATCCTGGTTAGTAATATAAGTTACACATTACATTGTATTATGCTCGTGTATACATGTAGTCTATATTTTCTCTACTGTATGTGTATGTACATCAAAGAATAATGCCTTGTTATTGGTCATTGTAAGTTTATGTAGTGTGTTCAAATTGACCAACATGTCTAAAGAAAATAAAAAGTAATAAATAATCATAAATTTAAATTGGACCCATTTGTAGAACCACGTCCACGTCGTTGGGTCTGGAAACATATTTCACAACGGTTTCAAGAAATATGGCTAAGAGTTCTACATATCGTATTTTGTTTTGGAACAACATATAAAAATGTGTAAATATAAAAAAAATAAAGCAAAATAAATTAATTGCATTTCTGTGTTATTGTTTTAATTTTGTATTTCACTTTTGTCTTTTTTACTTTTTCATTTCATTATTTAATTCGCCATACCTCAGTATTTTGTGACAAAATTTAAATTAATGAGATTCATTGTATTTTTTTTGTAAGCCAATTATCTGGTCAATATTCATTTGATATTAACAATTATTTAATATAATTGTATTTCAAGTTGATTTATTTAACATTTACTTTATATATATTTATGCAGTTATTCATACAGCACAAGTATTTTTCCATTCCGGCGACAGCAGTGTTAAGTTCTTCCATATATGGTTCTTCATATTAACACCACGGGGGGAAGTGGGCGGGGCTTAAGATTCATCATGGCGGGCGGCGCTGCTGTCACGCGAGAGGAAAATCGTATCGCGTATAACTTTCTTTATCAGCGAGAAATCACTTCGAAATTTTACAGATGGGTTTGATTAAGTAAAAATAACCATTATATAACTTTATTTCTTAACTATCGTATCCAGAACGCCTGCGGGCGTCTATGTATACTTGCGGGCGTCTGCGGGCTGGTTTAAGTAGGACCCGTTCCAACTACTGAACTCGTCGCCGAGCAATACCACTTAGTCGGTCCTGAATAAGCACTAGGTTGTCCTACCAACTAAGTCAACCCTTGCTCGGGTTCTAACCTAACCCTATAGCTAGCTACCCACAGTCAAAAGTCCAAGCTTCGGTGAGAACTAAACAGCTTTCGCACCAGCTTGACAAGCTGTTTCGGAAAAGCCACTATTTCAGACTTTCACCCACCACCTGTTACAAATGACTGTGTTACGTGCTTAGTAAGAAGTCTTTCGTCGTCTGTGTATCTCTGAAAGCTTCACCAACATTCAGTATAACAGCGCTCGCGATAATTCAAAGTAATTACATATACTTACCATCGACATGTTGACGCTTGTAGACACTGCGTAGAAATAGCAGGAAGTATAGTTAGTAATCACCAGAACGAGGCGTCGAGGTCACACATCTAATACCGTAGCATGTACAGTGTGCCGTTTATATATCCTTGTCAGTCTTAAAATAGGTATGACTTGTTTGATAACTTGAGCATACTATATTTGGTTAACCGAATAACGAAGTGTGTCACGTGTATAAGTGAGATACATGGAATTCCAAGATATTCGATTGCAATGTTGGGCACTGAGTTTTGACAATTGCATTAAGAAGTGACATATATGGTGTTATCTTTACGTCTGTCACGACATTGTGTTCATTGTCAGTCCGTAATTTTGTTATTTTTTGTCCGGAGATTTAAGTTTTTTACAAAGCCTTCGAATCTTTTACCCATAGTGGCTTTTACACGGCAATGGATCTTTGTATTAGCCCTCTAAAACCGTCATTAAATGAAAAAAGTATGTCGTTATGTCAAAAAATCGTTAAATAATTCCAAATTATACCAGCATTTTTCGAAGATATTTTTTATAAAATGGAACGAAGTTGATATATAATCTGTTTACCATCTCGTCATACTTTTTCGACCTTAGTGCACATGATATTGTACTACAGGCGAAAAAGTTGGTCCAATCCTCACTACGTATACACACGTTTGTCTGATGAAAGTAACCGTGTAGTCATCGAAACATTAATTCTGGTTGTGTTTTAAGAACGTTTCTATAGATCTGGGGAGGATTGGCATGTATACAAGTTGACTGTATATTATTTATTTACATGTTTGTTTATATCTTTTTACATCTCTATTTTATTAAGTAATTCAGTTAACAGAGTAATAATTAATGTGCTAGTAACGTTTGGCTTGAATTGTGTTAATAAAAGTCAGTAATTTCCTACTTCAAAACACGACTGAAAAGTACTGCTGATTGAACACACCGGAGATAATATTATGTGTAGTTCGAAAAGGACGGTTTCCTTTTTCCACAGGATTGGACTACCATATTAACTAACATTAATCCTGGTAGGTTTCCCTCTACTTCTATCTATTTAATCCTAGCATTGAAACACTGCTGATATAGACCCTGACAATAGAATATTTCTTGAGAAAATACTGTTTGTAATGCGAAACTAGAGTGTTATTTTATGACCAATCTACTCAAATATTGCGGAAATATGACAAGATCATGTACTGTTCTGTGACCTGTCGGCGTGATCAAATCGATTACCAAATACGGTCTGTTATGGGCGTCACACCTGTTCTCGAAAATAGACGGACTAGCGGAAGACATTGGCAGAGGAAATTAAAATGTCATACTTTCAAAATTTGAAAGAAAAATAAATAAAAAAAAAAAAAAAATGGGACAGTTGCTATATTTCAAAATATTTAACGCCTGAATTATGTTCAGGTATGTAATTATAAGTGACAATGACACAAGGAAGACATAACCATATATGGTTGTTTCCTACCATGATTGCAGTCATACGTGGTTCTTTAATCTTTTTATAAGTCCGTCCGTTTAAATATGACCATATTTTGCATTGACCTACCAAAGGTGTTTGTCTCTAGTGTTAAAAATATCTTCACTACGTCATTTTTGTTTACCACTGTTGTACATGTACCCGATAAGGTAGGGTCCTTTCAAGATGGCGGACCTACACGGTCGCAAATTGTAGGTGCTCACTTTAAGCTAAAATTTCACTGGTTTATAGATAAAATCTGACTGGGACAAGGACCACTAGAAACTCAGGAATTCTCGAGATTTGTATTACACTATTTGTATAGTGCTGTTATTGTCTTAAATAATTGTGAGTCCTTCGCAAAGTCGAGCTAACTGTTGGATGCAGCATCGAGGTGGGACTTGCTGTGAGATTTTATTCATATTTGAATATTTGAGACTCCCAAGGTTTGTTTTTATAGTCAGACACGTCAATAACATTTGCTTTTATTTATGCTCGTCTCACTATAATATTACAAAAACGAAAGAAAATCTAGTTTGTTACGGACTGGTGCTCAGAAATATACATAATGTAATGAATACGTAAACATTTGTGAATTGTACCAAGCGTGTGTTACCTGTATTGTTACGTGTACTGATTACGTCATATTATGTGGGCTCACTCAGGTGTATATATACCGCTGACTGTACCTGGTTTCAAGCTCTGGGAGAGCGGTCCAGCGAAGAATATTCAGGTGAGAGCAATGACAGGTAAGCACTCGGTGACGTGAGGGGACCAGTGGACCGGAACGGCAAAGGGCTGACGTCGGCGGGCGCACGGGTTGTCGCCGGGTACGCCGTAGCGGCGTTTGGGAATGCCGGAGCCTCTGCGTTGCTATCCTCACGGCACCGAGTGACTAACTACATAGATATCTTTGGGTGCCCACATAATAAGACGCACTGCCCTGTTTCTAGTGGTCTTTTATCTGTTTTGCGAATAAACTGTGGAAACTGTCAGTGATAGCGTTGGCTTATTTGTCAGAACATTTACTCCTGGAGGTTCGAACGCCTTTGTACGCCAGAACCCGGAAGGACAACGATGGACCACAGACGGTAAACGGTTACAAAATTGGTGGCAGCGGTGTACGGCGTAAATATGACGTCGACACTTGAGGAGTTATACGTAACTATTGACAGACTGCAAGCGGAGATTGACCAGATGAGTATGTCGAGCGGTAAAGCACAGGCACAAGCGGCGTCACGGGCGCTACTATCACAACAGAATAATGAACCGGCGTTATCGTCGGCGCAGCAGATATACCCGGCGTTATCATCGGTGCAACAGGCGTATCCAGCGTTATCGCCGGCACAGCAGGCGTTCTCATCATTAAATATATCGCTAGAGCAACAAACGCCGACAACACATTTTAAGTCAATGGAGCAACAAAACGAGGTTATAAACAATGGGGCAAGACCAAAGACAAACCACCGAAAACCTAAACGCGGTACATTAGCTCCAGTAAAAAGGGAGACACATATCTCTATGCAAACAGATGGCGTTACGTCGAAACAAGAACAGGAGTCAAATGATGCAAAGATGCGCAGGAAGGTTTCACTAATGGAAGAGCGTATGCCGAAGACACAACGCCGACGTCAGGTGGGATATCTTAGCGGTGATGACGTCATGTCAAGCACCATGAGGTGGCAGGAGTTTGACAATCAAGAAAGAAGCATTGACGAACAGTTTGGAATTTGTCTGCCAAAGGAACAGAATAGGCTCGGCAACAACGTGACTTCCCCAAACAATAGGCCTTATAAGGAAGAACCAATAATTGATTTAAGAAATTTGCAAAGGACACCAACAGCAGTTGAAGAACCCAAATGGGCTACAATGAAGGTTAAACCAGCAACATGCGACGGTCTTACGTCCTGGGTAGATTACTTGACTCATTTTGAAATGTGCGCGTCTATAAATCGTTGGTCTGACGTTGACAAGGGTCTCCACCTCGCTGTAAACTTAAGGGGGTTAGCGCAAGACGTATTGGGTAATCTCCCAGCTGCAGATAAGGCCAATTTTACTAAATTATCTTCAACACTACAGCAACGGCTGTAGAGTTAAAAGCATTTGAGAAAGCCGAACATGCTAGGACAGAATACAAAGGTTACGCCAGGGCCGCAGACATAACGGTAGAGACTTCCGTTCAAGACGACACAGTCAGCACTCTTAAGGAACTGAAAAAGATGATTCTTGACATGAAATCCGAGATAGACAAACTGAAAAAAAGTAGATCAAACAGGAGCCGACCGAAGGACAACAAATGCTTTAAGTGCGGGAAGGAGGGTCATTTCCGGCGAAATTGTCCAGATAATAAAGATAGGCCGGCGTATTCAAATATGAGTACCGGATATGAACAAGATGAGGCGGGCGTTTACATTTCCGGGACATTGAACGAAACGTCTACAGAGATGCTCGTGGATACCGGTGCCACTGTTACCTTGCTGTCTATCGATCTTTTTCATCGCATCCCAACAGCGCAGCGTCCTAAGTTAGAACCGGTAAAGAAAGACGTAATAGCGGCAAACGAGGGAAATCCGAGTTTACGTTGACTGTTGGTCAGAAAACACTACGGTTCAAGGCAATTGTAGCCGATATTACGACTTCCGCCATTTTGGGCCTTGATTTCTTGTACCAACAAAACTGCCATGTCGACTTGAATAAGAAAGAGCTTAGAGTAAACGGCGAGATTCTGGCGTGTCGGTTAGCGGGCCGGTTTGGCTGTTGTCGCGTACATGTCGCCGAAACTGTCACAATTCCTCCGCGTAGCGAAGTAGTAGTACCTGCAGCTCTAGAAACAGAGACAAGCAATAGCATTGGTTTGATAGAACCTCTGGCAGAAGGAGGAAAACATGGAAATACTATCGTAGGTCGAACATTTACACAGGCAGCAGAAACGGTACCAGTAAGATTGATTAACCCAGATGAGGAAGCTCAGGTCCTATATCAAGGTACAGCAATAAGGCAATTTGAACCTATACAGAACGTAGTCAGACAGACAATACCAGTGAGCAAGTCAAATGGGGACTTGTTTTTAAAGGATGACAAAGATCTAGGACAGACTGATGTGGTGAAACACACGATTGACACTGGAACTAGGAAACCTATCAAGCAACCACCTCGCCGACTGCCTCATCATTCACTGCAGGAAGCTGACAAGCAGGTCAACGAGATGTTGGAAAGGGGAATCATTGAACCGTCATCAAGCCCTTGGGCATCAGGTATTGTTCTTGTTCGTAAGAAGGATGGTAGTCTGCGCTTCTGTGTAGATTACCGACAGCTGAACAACGCTACGATCAAGGACGCTTATCCGCTCCCCCGTGTTGACGATTCCCTGGACAAGCTAGGTGGTGCGAAATGGTTTTCGACCCTAGACCTTTCGTCCGGATACTGGCAAATAGGCATGGATCCTGTAGACAAAGCGAAAACGGCCTTTGCGACACGTAAAGGGCTTTTTCAATTTAAGGTGTTACCGTTCGGGTTGTGCAACGCCCCTGCAACATTTGAACGTCTTATGGAGACCGTGTTAGCAGGATTGCAGTGGGAAGTATGTTTGATCTACTCATCATTGTTCAT